AAGGCGGCTAGGCGTATAAGACGACCCCCAACTTTTGAGAAGATTTTCAAGGTTTAGAAAGTCATCTTATACGCCAGAAAATACAGTACAATATTGAATTTCTGTTTATAGATGAGCACAATAGGAGCTCCTTTGCTGCTAGAAAGCTTTGTCCTGTTAGTGCTTATTTCTGTAAAAAAAAAATAGGGCTGGCCACTAGGGGGCAGATTGGTTTTAAATTCAGAAAACAGCTACCCATATATTCCTGCGTATAAGATGACCCCTGACTTTTGAGAAGATTTTCAGAGTTTAGAAAGTCGTCTTATATACCGGAAAATACGGTACTTTTTACCAAAAAGTAGTTCTGGCAGTCTAAGATTGCTATTCACAGTGTCCCAAAGGGGGCGAACTAGCTTTACACCAGCCGGCTAGCAGGTAGGTGTGGCACCGCCTACCGCTTCACTCAGAACATACTAGCTGTCCCACTGGAGTGATATCTATTTATGTTATTCTTATTCATTCATATCTCATTCATGTGATGAGAGACACACCATGACATTCCTGGTTGAATCATCACATGGATGACTTTGATAAGCACTTGCATAAACACAACTATGGGAAAAATCTTGTCCGATATTATCTACATTTAGAAACTCCCACCTCCCTCACAGAGAGACTCTGTGCTGTGTATGAATAAATTGTTAAAAACTGAAAATAAAATATAAAGTTTTAAAATGGAATCAAGGATAATTAAAATGCAACAATAAAAAATAATTAAAAAGCAGGGGAAGGGCCTTGAGGGCGCTAACCAGCCTCATGGCTGCATGCTACACTGGGAGTTCCAAGCTACGGTAGATGGAGAGCCAGGTCTGTAGACAGTTCTGGGAATCCGGAGAGTGAGGAAAATGGCTCACCTCTCAGGATGAAGGGCAGTGGCAGAGATGGTTATTTTCCTGGACCCCACCAATCAGGGTTCTTTTCCTGAGGGGGTCTGCAACACACCTTCTCTGCCTGACCAGATGGGACGGCCTGAAGTGATGGGATGAAGACAGTGCTGTAGGTAAGCTGGTTCCATGCCGTATTGTGCCACTACTGAACTCAGAATGTTTTGTCTTGCTCAAGGCCAAGAATAAATCCATATCAAAATGTCTTAAGTTAAACATAATTGATTTTAATTATTTTTAGCATGTTCCTGAAAGAACCAATAGTTCTGGTGGTTATACATGGTTATAATAATTTCAAGAATTAAAAAAGCTCCCCAAATTCTAACACGTTTTGCTTTATTTCTTTCACTTAAATATTGTAAAACTGTTCACCGTTAAAATATTAGCCAAGCAGTAACTTAGGAGTCAGATGTTGACTATTTTGACTCAAGAATTAAATACTTGTTCTATCTGGGATAGAAACAGAAGGAACACTGAATAACACTGCACTTAGTACATTAGTAAATGCATATTGAACAAGTACCCTTTGAGGCACACAGAGAAGTAGAAACAAATAACTGTATTGGTGTAAATAGCAGTTGGGGGAGGATCTTTTGGAAAACTCAGTGTTCAGCATTATCTTCAAGTACAACAGTGAGGGATGTACTCTATGAAATGTAATATACTTTTACAAGCCAGATCTGCCTTGGGATTTGATCTCTCTGCTGTTTTAGACTTGGGTGATGGGTATAACTGTTAAAAGACCAGATTGAGAACAGGTCATTCTGGAGAAAGTTTAGCTATTCACAGAATTCTTCAGGCAGCATGGCCATTGGGGGGATAGACACTCTAATCTTCAACACACACACACACACACACACACACACACACACACACACACACACACATAGTCCAATGGGCATCACATTTAAAAAACAGCCTAAATGTGCTACAAAATTTAAGAAGCATCACTACCAAAAGTTCAACCAGAATTTATATTGAAATACTGTTTGGAACCATGCTATGCAGACATTTATTTATTTGATATATATTGCTGCCCATCTCAAATGCAAGGAATAAAAACAAGATAAGACATGACACACAATAGCTAAAATAAAAACCAAGAATAAGCACAATCATGATGATGTAGGAAATGCCAAGGCTAAGCCCAAGGGAGGCATCAAATACATCATCAGTCTTGAGTCCCTTCACACCCACAAGAGATCTAAGTCCAGCCCACCTTGAATTCTGTTGACTCTTATCTACTGCCAATTTGCTTTGACCATTACTAATTCAGATTATTGTAGAGAAAATGTTAGCATGCAATAAACCTGTATTCGTTTGAAATACTTGATTTCCTGTGTTCGACAGATACATGTTCAACCACATAATAGGGCCCCAAACCTGGTAACAAAGCCAGTCTTCAAGGCTTTATGGAAACCCAGGTCAGGGAATCTTTGATCTCTGAGGTAAATGATGCTTTAGAACAGAGGTCTCCAACTTTTCTCAGTTGGTGGACTGGAGGGAAAGGAAGGGGGAAGTATCTTACGTGCATGCGTGCACACAAATGGGACCCTGAGCATACATGACACAAACGGGGAGGTGCTAGCACCCACATGATACTTGCTAGCACCTCCCTATTTTTGCCATGTGGGTGCTAGAGCCACCCCATTTTCATCGGGCGGCGTCCCGTTTTTGCCATGCAGCACCCCATTTTAATAGCAGTAGCAGTAGCACAAGTGGGGGTGAGTGCTGTACATGTGTGTGCATGCACTGGCCAGCCTGTCCCATGGCTCGATAGTCAGCAGGCCATGGCCTTGTAGTGGGCTGTGGCCCATAAATTGGGGAACCCTGCTTTAGAGAGTGGGTGTCATGATAGAAATGGCTTCTTTCCTGGATCCTGTCAGATGAGACTCTGTAATATAGCAGCCCCCAAACCTTTTGGGCACAAGTGATCAGTTCCGTGGAGGGCAGTTGTTTTGAAAACCCAGAGAGTGTAGTTTTACACACTGCCTGGATCCTGCACGTACATGGATGGGGCTTCGCTTGCTTGCACGACCCAGTTCCTTGTGCCGGTCCATGGCCCAAGGATTGGGGACCCCTGCTATAATAGATGGGACCCAGAACATGTGTATTGGATCTAACACAATGGGTAGAAAAAACTGGATTTTCTGGATTAATCAGGACTTCAAAAACAATTGCATCATTATTTGTGAAAGATCTTCTAGCCCACTTTTCTACTTATTTTACTTATTCTTCCAGCTGAACCTTCTCTGTACTTTTTTTTTTTTTTTAGATTTTGAGTAGAAACATGCCAACAACCTCTCACACTTAGTGGTATCTTTGAAACAGAGATAATTACTATGTCAAATGCCAGTGTTTAGATTAATTCATTTTGAAGCATCAACATATATATCCTTCAAAGGATATTTTGTTGGACCTCAAGACGTTCCCAGCAAGTGGCAAATTGCTATCATGAAACCCTTCATTAGAAGACACAACTTACTCAAATACCTTTTTAATGAAATCCACCACCACAAATCTTTAAACAAAAAGTACAATTCTTTTGGAGGGGATCAAAGCAGTAGAAAAAGTAATGTCAAGATGGTCGTCAACATATTTCCTTTGATTTTAGAAGCCTTGGGAAAATCGGTCCAAATATACTTTTTCCAATATGTTTAAAGGTAGGGGAATAAAAAAAAGTTTTCTCTTTAAAGATCACTAGCCTCATACGTTCCTAGTGAATCAGTCAACATACATACTCTGTGTATATTACATAATTTCCTAGCTCAATGTGAAAAGGAATGTGATTAATCCTTCCTGACATGCTCTGAACTTTCCGTGCAGATAGTTCTTCCTCCTCCTCCAGATATGCTGCAACTGATGTCATTCGACCTGCAGATACCTTCCTGAAAGCACTGACATTATTGTACTAATTATCCACCTTAATTTACAGTTGAAGCCCAGAGACTGCTTTGCTAAATAAAAGAGGATAGTGAAAAGGAACATCACACAGAAATATCTCTGTTTGCATTTGAATTGCTGCATTCCCTTGATGAAGTGAGAAAATATATCAAATCAACATGCAGAAACAAGGATATAAAAATGCTATTCAGCTGGTTGAGGCAAATGAGGAATTCACAGCAGACAGGCTCTTCCCCGTTTGTTTTATACGCTGCCAGGGGAAGACATTAAACCAATTCAGAGTGGTAAATAGGTCTCTGGGAAGGGATAATTGTGCTAAATTATAGGGACATAACAGGATGCCTGAACCTGCTTTGCTCGGATATTGTTTTGCCCTGTTCCTCCTCCTTTTGAAAGCCAATTGCTAAGATGATCATGTGCCCTGTCAGGTGTTTATACTTTAGAAAAGTCACTCACCACCACCCCTTCCAAATTCTTATCTTAGAGGGGGGGAAAAAGCATTACCACTTTGCTTTCCTACACTTTCTGTCTCTCAGCAAACCAACCTCATTCTATACAGGTAGACTACCTGTATAGAATGACACTGAAAACAGTGGCTTGTCACCATTTTTCACACTTACGACCACTGCAGCATCTCCGTGGTCGTCTGATCAAAATTCGGACCCTTGGCAACTGATTCATGTTTATGATGTTTGCAGTGTCCCAGGGTTATGTGCTTACTTAATCAGTGCAATGATTCGCTCAAACAACTGGGGCAAGACAATGTCATAAAATGGGACAAGATTCACTTCACAACTGTCTCGCTTAGCAACAGAAATGTTGGGCTCAGTTGTGGTCGTAAGTCGAGGACTGCCTGTGCTCCTTTAAGACCAGTTTTAATCAGGTGCTCAGGCAGGTGTTCCCGCAAGCGAAGCAACGCACCCACAATCGCCCAAAACCTCACAGCCGACGGGTTGCTTCACAAATGACCCTTTCTCAGTACTGGGGGTGGTGGTGGGGAGAACCAACGCAAAACCACTGAAGGGCGACCAGCTTTACTCTTCTCAGCCACTCTCGGACTCGCCGGAAAAGACGGACCCACGCCGCGCCATCTCCCCCAAACGCTCCCTCACACACACACACACCCCTCGCCTCTCTTGACTTCTCCACCTATGGCCAGGCTGTCCGACTTACCCACTCCAGCAGCCTGAGGAAAGCCAGGGGTTCCTTCACCGCCCGGAAACTGCCCTTGGAGGCCAGCTGGGAGGAAAACAAAAACATAAAAAAAACAGGGCAAAGTCAGAGGCTGCCCGGAGCGGGGAGGGGAGGGGAGGGGAAGGGAAGGGATCCCAACCTTCGCGCGCCTCCTCCTCCTCCTCCTCCTTTACCTGGTCGACGGTTTCCATGCCTGCCCAGCTCTCTCGGCGCGCAAACTTCAGCTCCGCTCCAGGCACAGGCGACAGTGGCTGCGGCGTCCAGCTGCGAAGAGCGTCCGGGAGAGGCGGTAGGCTCGTCGCCTAAGGCGAAAAGCCCCGGCTGGTTGGCGAGCAGAGTTGCCGGAGAAATATCCACGCCCGAGCCGAGCTGAGCGCGCTGGGCGGAGGGATAGAGAGGAGGGGGCGGGCTTGCCCGCCTTCGCGCCTTCGCCTTGTTGCCTTCGTGTCAGCCGTGAGGGGAGTCGGTCGAGCTGAGGGCAGGCGCAGGTAGCGGCGGGCCTTAAGACGGCTTCTGCCCGGGCAATCCCAGCGCGTTCCCTCAGCTTCTCCGAGGTTTGAGGAGGCAGAAACCGAGAAAGAAGCAGGCGGTCCTGGGCAAGACCACGCTATAACTATTCCCGTGCAACGCCCCTGCCTATGGTAGGACCTGGCGCTGCCCCTGTTTAATGCATTTTCCCAAATTTACGCTCAGTTTCCTCCTGAACTTTAAGAAGCATAGCGTTTAGAGTACAGAATAACAGAGTTGGAAGGGATCTTGGAGCTCATCTAGCCCAACCCCCGCGCTCAAGCAGGAGACCCTACACCACTTCTGAAAGATGGCAGTCCAGTGTCTTCTTGAAAGTTTCCAGTGATGAAGCTCCCACAACTTCTGAAGGCAATCTGTTTCATTGTCTGTCTCCGGAAAAGCTTGAATAGCCCTCCCATACAGGCACAGACAAAAACAACAAACACCCCTTCTGCTGGGTAGTTTGAATGCAATGATAGTGGAGAAATCAGACTTTTTGCTGTCATTGGAACACAACCAGCCATTCTGATTTCTGCTGGTTCAAATTCACATCAGATCTGTATTTTTACTGATTTGCTATGTCATCTAGAATTGCTTAGTCAAGCAAGAAATGTTCAGGGCTCTTTGTAACTAGGGAGAATGTGCTAGACTCGTGACAGTGTCAACAGCCCTTATTACTTTACAATTCTACAGCAACATTGTACTGTAGCTTAATAGAATTGCTAGCTATTGCACCTGGAAAGCTCTCTAGAGACTTCTAGGAATATCTTAGATTCCATAGCTTTGAGGATGGACCATCTTAATTGAGGCTTTAATTTAAGCAAGCACAGAATATTCAGACAGGCTCATCGTGCTTTACAAAACCTGAGTCAGACTTGAGTGGATAATATTTCCAGAGATGATAAATGGCCAGCTAAGGCAAGGTAAGTTACTGCCAGCTAAACATCATGAGTTAGATCAGGAGTGTCAAACTGTTGGCCCATGGGCTGGGTGCATCATGGCGAAATCGCGCCCACCCCATTGCCGGCAATGAGGAAAAAAATCACGATATGTCGCAACACATGTGACGTTGCAAGTTTGACACCCCTGAGTTAGACCAACATGTTTTTGCTTCGGTTCTGCCAAAGTGGTGTGAACTGGCTGAATCCCACCACTGATTCTAACCATTGTGCCACCACAGATGGTCCAAAGATGGTCATACATATTCACATGGATTTTTAAGTTGAAATAATTAAGATTAGCATTGTAAAATTTGCAGTTTACCCTGAATTAGTCCATGGAGCTGAAATTCTTGGTGAAAACCCAAAGGCTCTTTTTTCATGAGGTAACTGGACTTTCTTGTTTTTCTTTGAAGACGTTTCACTTCTCATCCAAGAAGCTTCTTCAGCTCTGACTGGATGGTGGGGAACGGCAGGATTTGTACTCCTTGCAGATAGCTTTTTATTTGCATTCTTTTAGCAAGTCATTGAAGCCCCTAGAGGCTTATCTGTGTCATCACGGTCACTTGGGTGGTGCAAATGGGTGTGGAGCCTTCTTGGAACTGCCGAAAGGACTGTGTTGTAGACTGGAGATACATGATGTTATATCCCTCCTCCTCTGTTGAGAGAGGGCTGTTCAATTTTGGCATAGATGACCTCTTTGACCCCTCTTTCAAACCAGTGGTCCTCTCTGTCCAAAATGTGCATTTTGACCTGGATGACTGAGAATCTCCATAGACATTCTTGGTGAGAAAGAATTTAACACACAATGGCTATTTTTATTGAAAAACTTCCATTTCTTGTCTTTGATTTGACCTGTATTTACTGATCTATATGAAAGGGCTCTGATTTGTGCATTTGAGGTTGCTGAATATTTCCCATGAATTCAGTCAAATGTTTTCCCTGTTATATATTACTTTGCAATAAAGGAAATGGGCAAATTATATTTCATTTTCTAAATAAAAGATCACTTGATGGATTTGTCCCATCATACCTTCCACAGAAGTTTACACCACACTAAATTTCATTAGGATAGATCATCTTCAAATTTAATTTTAAGTCTCAATTGTCTTCCTAGAGCAGTGGTTCTCAACCTTTTTAATGCCGCGACCCCCAACCGGTCGTAAGTTGAGGACTACTCAACCGGTCGTAAGTCGAGGACTACTTAACTGTTTGCAGAATGGGACTTTTGGTGGGCTCAGCAGGGCAGAGACAGCCTGGACAATTCCTATTGGCTTTTGAAAGCCAATAGAATTAGACTCTATTCAAGAGAGTCTATTCTATTGGCTTTTGAAAGCCAATAGAATAAAAGGGAGGAGTACAGCTAAGGAAAAGGGGGGGAAAATGGCGGACTGCGTTGTTTGGCGACCCCCGTGAAATGGTCGTTCGACCCCAAATGGGGTCCTGACCCACAGGTTGAGAACCACTGTCATAGAGATACAAAATTAAAATGTTTTAATGGTACTGGATTTTGGTTTGATTACTTGTTCTGATTGGAAAAGTATATTTAATTTTCGTATGGGTTATTTTCTTTTTAAAATTATTTCACTCTTCTGCAACTATTTTTGAGCTGTAAAAGGGCCACACAAATATTCATCAAAGTGTATAGGATTTTTGTATTTTGTTTTTAAATGTAAATGCAATAATTTCTGTAAAGAAAGCCTAAATGTAATGGAAGACCACATAAAAAAATTCAACTAGATCTTAATTTCTATTGTAATCCAGGATAGCTTCTCAAATAACTTTGGTGCTTTCTGGTACTCTTAAAAAAGCTCACTATTTAAATTCTTTGTACAAAAGTTTGTTGTTGTTAGTTGCAAAGTCGTGTCCAACCCATCACGACCCCATGGACAACATTCCTCCAGGTCTTCCTGTCCTCTACCATCTTCTGGAGTCCATTTAAGCTCACGCCTACTGCTTCATTGACTCCATCCAGCCATCTCATTCTCTGTCGTCCCCTTCTTCTATTGCCCTCAATCTTTCATACAAAAGTTTAGGGTTAAGTCAGTGGCTCGGAAAAGCACAATCTTGAAAGTTATAAGAGGGTCCCATTTTTATTCATTTAGGTCCTAACATCTCTTCCTCCCCCTTCTCTCTCTTTCATTCTTTTCCAGTGTTGATGCATAATGTAAGCCACTGAGAGTTTAATCAGCTATATCAGAATTTCTTCCTTTATCATTTCTATATACCCCTTGATTAGTAATGCACAATCATGCCAAGCATGAATCAAACACAATGCCACATCTTCAGCATCAGAAAGAGATGACACCAAACCCAGAGTTGCAAATGTTAGTTACTGTATTTGTGTTCTGTTAGCTGATGCACATTGATTTGTCTCTCAGGTTTTGCTTTGGGCCACAATTTGGCATATAGGAGAGTCAGTTATGGGACAGAATTTCTATCAGATCAAAGTGATATAGCAGCACAAATACAATGGAAATAAAACAAATGTTGATTATAATAAAAATGTATGGAGATAATCACAGAAGGACAGTGTGAATTTGATTTATGAAAAGAATGCTCCAAAATTGGACTTTGTCACTTGCAGAAACCCTACTTTGAACTCTTTTCATCAAACCAAGTAAAATGCATGCATTAAATTGCAAAGCAAATGCTTTTCAAGAGTCTCAGAGAGGGTAAATAGTCATCAATTCTTATGGTTTAGATGAAAAAGGCACCTGTATTGAAGAATTATTCAGAGCTGATCAACTGATTTCTTACAGTACCATCTCATTATTTCCCTGCCTTGTTCCTTCCTACTTTATTGTATCCTTAGTAAAATTTAATTCTATTTGAGAATGTAAACCATAATCTAATATAAAGGTTTAATGTGTAGAAGAAAACTGGAAAAATGGCTCTACATCCATTTTTCATAGTATGCCTTGTTATAAATGTGTATGTAATAACAGGGAATTGAAAACACAGTGTGCCTTCCAAGCTGAGTAGCTGTGAGTCTTGTCACAGCTCTTGTCAATCATTGGGGAAATTGAAAAAAGTCATTTTTGTAGGCCAAATTTGGTTGCTGATAGTATGGATCTTTATACCACATGAAATCATTAAAGAGAAAGAAAAGCAAGCAGAAAGAAATATTTTCCAGAGCACAGTTCTTTACTTTGGGTTAACCTTTGGGGGAATTAAATGGTATTTCAGCAAACCTTCTGATTTTTGGGGATGGCATATACAGCACCTTTCAAAGTATATTAAATTGAAGTGTAGTTTGAAGAATGTAATGCTTGAAAGAAATGTTCAGTGAAGGGAAAGAAATATTGGAAAGATTTTTTAAAATTAAGATTTAGCAAAAATAGGAAATGGATGGATATCATGGAATTGATTGAAAAATCAATCTCTCTCTTTATAAAGCCTTTCTGATACTGATTATGTATCAATTGGTAGAAATAATTGATTTCATTTTCACACTGATTCTCATGACAGGCAAACCACAGAAAGATTAGTTGTTAAAACATCAGACTAACTGTTTTGAGACTCTTAGAATAAATCTTTCTTATGGAATAACCATATTCAGCACCATAGACAGTTCTCTTCAGTATTTACATATACAAAACATTTCCATTTCATTCCTATGCTGGTTGCAAATTCAGAAAAGTAGAACAAGATATAAGCTAAATTTAGGTTATAAGTGAAAGTGGATTTCATTGGTATATTATCACTTGATGAATTGTTATTATGAAAAAATATGAGCAATTCAGTAAAAAAGAAACAATTTAAAAACTTTAGCATTGTAATATGATAGATAATATATTAAATTATTAAGTATCTAATGTAAGCACTCCAATTTTCTTCACCAAGTGTGCCACCATTTTTTTCCTTTTCTTGTTCCAGAGAGAGAAACCTGACAAAGGGCACTGAAAACTCTTAACAGTCTTGAAAAAGTTCAGCTTCCTTAGTCAAGGCAATGTAGTTGGACAAGAGGTTGCTAACTTTGAGTGACAGAGCTTGACAACCGTTGTGACAATTCAAGAGTCTTCTTGATTGTTTCTCTGTGCATCACTTACACCATGTTAATGGAGCTTCAGATTCAGATTACTTTGGAGGAACATCACTTTGATTCAGGCA